CCCCGAACTACCGTCCGATCACTCTCCTTTCAGTGTTATCCAAAGTAACGGGAGGTGCAATCTCAGTGGCTGTCCATGGAATACCATGAAACACTGTGGCAGCGCGTACGCGCGGGCCCTTAATACGACCCACACTTCGTAGCTTGTGATTGGATGCCTGTCCGTTCGCGATCAATACCAGGTTTTGTTTTTGAATATACTGTGTGCATGTACCGTTGGCGTGAATAGAAGTTTGTGTTGCGTACCAGTAGAGTTCTGCTTCCTCGTTCGGGGCTTTGGTCGTGTTTTGTTCAAGGACCCTGCGTGCAGGGGACTAGTGTACGTGTAGATACAACAGTGGCGTCTGGGCTGTGGACCATTACAATGGCATTTCACCTACTACCTCCAGAAGCCTTTTGGTGCGATCCTGCTACTAGACCTACGGAGAGTGATTGGATCCAATGGAGAACGTCTTTCACGAATTACTTGGACCTACTCCCAGCAACTACTACTTACGATGAGAAGCAAAAACTGAAACTACTTCGTCACCTGTTGGGCAATGAAGGTCAACGTTATTTCGATGCGTTAGATCTGCAGAAATTCGACACACTTACAAAGGCATTGGATGTACTCGATCAGTCATGGGGTGCACGGCCAAACATTTTCGCTGAACGCTACAAGTTCTGCTGTTTGAGGCAAGAAGATGCAGAGCCACTGGAACAATTTGTCGCTCGTTTAATTCGGTCTGTAAAAACCTGTGACTACACTAGCATCCCGAAGAATAAACTTGAGAGTGTTATGCTGACGCAGCAGTTGATAACCGGTATAAAGGATAATCGTATACGCGAAAAGCTACTTTCCGAAGATCCGTCAAAACTTACCTGGGAGAAAGCCATAGAGATCGCAAGACTAATAAAAGCCGCCGTTGAACATTCGAGCCTATTCAAGTCGAGTGATATACTAGAAGTCAGTAAGATTCAGCACAAGGGTTCCAGTCAACCTCAGAATTCGACTGTTTCGTGCTATAGATGTGGGAGTTCTCGCCACAAAGCTGACTGTCAAACATGTCCGGCTCGTACAGCTGAGTGTAAAAGCTGTGGTAAACTGGGCCACTTCGCCAGATGCTGCCGCTCGCGTCGAGTCGCGTTAATTGACCAACAAAATGATGTTTCCACCTCACCGACTACACCGAATGTTTTTTCTATCAGAAGACGATTACAACCAGAAACACGACGAATTGCTTCGCTGGAACCCAAGCTCCCTGCTCCTGACATACGTACCGTTACACTCCATGGGCTTAACACTTCTGTACCAGTGACTATGGAGCTAGACTCGGCATCGCCGATAACAATTATCCCGTCCAGCATTTACGACAATTACCTGCAAGACATTCCATTACATCCTACGTCGTATAAATTCGAATCGTACACAAATTCACGTGTGCAAATTCGGGGATATATAATGACGAAAATCAGTTTACTCTCAGTCGCATCTGATGTAGCTGTGTATGTTGCCTCCGAAGACAGTCCAGCCTTGCTGGGGCGAAATGCTATGGTTGCCCTCAACATAACACCATCTATCGAGCGAATGCGCATCATGACAATCAAAACATCAGTACTTAAAAGCTTATATCCCAAATTATTTGCTGAGTCGATTGGCCGGATTCCATCTGCTGCTCATCGAATATGCCTTAAAAAGGACGCTAAACCGTTTTCGATTTCGCAGCCACGTCCTATTCCATTGGCCAAACGTACGATGGTAGAAAAGGCCATACAAGAGATGATTTCCAACGATTTGATAGAGCCAGTTAACTGTTCCGAATGGGTGCATCCCATGGTCACGGTGTTAAAGAAGGACGGTACTGTGCGCATATGCAACGACTTGAAAGCGTTGAACAGTCAGATCGTCGTCGAAAAATTCGTTCTTCCCACAGTTGACGAGTTGTTGGTCAAGATAACTGGCGCGCGATTTTTCTCAAAACTAGACCTGAGGAAGGCCTTTTTCCACATGCCATTGACACCAGAATCCAGACCACTTACGGCTTTTCTGACATCGAGTGGTCTATTCCAGTACAAAGTCTTGCCGATGGGACTTAGCTCCGCTCCAGCAGCTTGGCAGAAGTTTATGAATCACTCACTAGCAGATCTACCGGGACAAATCGCTTACATGGATGATATATGCGTTTTCGGGAAATCAAGAGATGAGCACGACTCAAGGCTGCGCGCTGTGTTGCAGCGATTGGAGAGCCTAGATCTTCGGCTAAACCTGGAAAAGTGTATATTTTGTGCTACGGATGTCGAGTTTCTTGGGTACGTCTTATCAGCTGGTGGAATTAGACCATGCGCAGCTAATACTCGAGCTATCACGGAAGCCCCTGTACCGAAGAATACATCCGAGGTTAAGCACTTTCTTGGTTTATGCTCGTACAACTTGCGCTATTTGCCCGATTTTGCAACTATAGCGGAGCCATTGAGAATGCTGACAAAAGAAAAAGCTACGTTCGATTGGGGCTCTTCGCAGCAGTCGGCCTTTGAAGAAATTAAAAGACGCCTCGTCTCCACCCCAATGCTGGCCATTTTCGACGAAAACTGCCCAACATTCGTCTCAACGGATGCGTCAAACATCGGTTTAGGAGCGGTCTTGTCTCAAATTCAGAACGGTGAGGAAAAAGTGATTGCATATGCTTCTAGAAAGTTATCCCCTACTGAAGTTTCATATTCCGCAGGTGAAAGGGAGGCCCTGGCCTGTGTATGGGCCTGTGAAAAATGGCACCTGTTTCTGTTTGGTCGGAGATTTACATTGCGCACGGATCATGCTGCTCTAACTACCCTCCTCAGCCGAGGAACCAATGGTCACAGGCCACTACGGATTAACCGCTGGTATGCGCGGTTACTGAACTATGATTTTCAAATCATCTTCCGCCCTAGCTCCGAGAACCGTATGGCAGATAGCTTATCACGTCTCCCATTGGATGATTCCGACAAGAATGAAGACGACGAAGAAAAAGTCATGATTTCTGCTTTACAATCAAGTGAGCTCTCCGCGGTTACTAAACAAGAGCTTCAAGAAGCTAACCGGAGTGATTCAAATGTGCAAGATGTCATTCACTATCTCTCTCAAGGCTGGCCTCGCTACGCGAAGTTGAGTGGTGAACTACGGGCGTTTTATGTTTTACGACATGAGCTAGCGGTCGTTGATGATTGCCTTATGCGAGGATCGCGATTCGTAGCTCCACAGAAACTGACATCAAAAATTATCCAATGTGCACACGAGGGACATCCGGGTATCGTACGGACGAAGCGCCGACTTCAAGAATACTTTTGGTGGCCAAAAATGAATAAAATGGCAGAGGCGTGTGTCCGGTCTTGCGATGCATGTCAGAAGGCCGACAAGAGCTCCAAACCGATCGATGCCCCCATCCAACCTGTTACTTATCCAATGAAACCTTGGTCGAAGGTGGCGATTGACATCATGGGACCGTTTCATTCTGCGCCACAGCACCAGAGGAACTGCTTAGTTGCCACGTGCTATTACAGTAAGTGGCCGGAAATCCATTTGTGTGGCGATGTGACCACTTCAACCGTTATACGGTGGCTGAAACATCTGTTTGCTAGATTTGGGTTTCCTGAGGAAATTGTGACAGACAACGGACCACAATTCACGAACTATGAGTTTAAACGTTTCTTACAGCTTCGTGATGTGAAGCACGTACATACTGTCCCGTACAACCCAGCTGCCAACGGCATGGTTGAGCGCACTAATCGCACGCTAAAGGAAACTATACAGACAGCACGTTTGTCCGGCAGGCAGTGGGAAGATGCCGTTTTGGAGGCTCTGTTTACTCACCGAACATCGCACCACAGAGCGACTGATCGCACGCCAGGTGAGCTGATGTTTGGCAGGAAGTTGCGTACGAAATTAAACGCAGCTATTTCGGCTGCAGAAAACAACGACCCCCACCAACTGGAACGTCGCCGGGGATATCAGTCATCCTACGAAAAACGGGCCACATCGCTGCGTCCTGGAACGTTGGTCAGGCTAAAGGAGAGGCAAACACGTAAAGGAGAACCGGCACTGACGAGACCCATCAGAATTACTCGTGCGCTAGGGCCAGGAACTTATGAGTTAGCAGACGGCCGACGAGTCAACGCCAGACAGCTATATTCAGCACTTCAACCGAAGCAATGTCCTGAAACGAGGGCCACCGCAGTGAACCAACCGCTGAAGAGGGGGAGTAGTGTGGCAGCGCGTACGCGCGGGCCTTACCACGACCGCACTTCGTAGCTTGTGATTGGATGCCTGTCCGTTCGCGATCAATACCAGGGTTGTTTTGAATATACTGAGTGCATGTACCGTTGGCGTGAATAGAAGTTTGTGTTGCGTACCAGTAGAGTTCTGCTTCCTCGTTCGGGGCTTTGGTCGTGTTTGTTCAAGACCCTGCGTGCAGGGGACTAGTGTACGTGTAGATACAACACTGCCTTCAATTGGTAGTCCAACGTATTCTCCAGCTGCATCTTCATCCTATCCATTGCCCAAGGTTTCATAAAGCACTTCACTTTAATTTCATTTTGCACCGGAACTTTGTAGTGGTCATTTGATCACCAAGAGATCGCACCCATCTTCTGCGCATGTTACCAGCTACTTGTATGTTATTTAACATATAAACCTTGGCTGGTTCCAGCATTTTGTTGGCAACATTCTTTTGAGCTAGGCAAAATTGGTCATAACCCACACAAAGGGATCTTAGAGACATTCCTTACCCTAGTTCCCACTCAATTATGGATGCTGCTACGAATTTACTGCATTGCGGATGGGTTCGCTTGGTCTACATCTTCTGGGTATGCGGTATGGCAAACTTACTTAAATAAGTTAAAAGTCCTTAACATTAAGTTACCCTATGATGTCAAAAGGAGAGTATTTCATTTCAGTTTTCGCTTCATTTTGGCGTTATGATGGGATTCAGCCACAGGAATGAATCGGACATGATCAAATGATCTGAACAACTTTGGGCCTCATTGTAGTTTGTTCAGAAAAATGAACACGATGAATCAGACGATAGCTTCATCCGTTTTGGGTAGTTCTAAGTGCCTCTTGACTCAACCGCTTGCATCTAGTGATTCGGTTGCATTGTGCTTCGCAAAAATAATCAGGCTGATTGCGTTGTTATTGACATTTTGAAGTCAACTGTGCTTGTTTTTCCTTCTCAGTCCAGATTTTTGACAGCAGTGACCTTTGGCGTTTATACATGACCTAAAGAAAAAGAATTTCAAAACAAATTTTGCTAATAACCGGGAAATACCATGATAAATGCATCCGTTCGGTAGTAGTCGTCCTTTTTAAATTTAACAGCGCTCGTTCATGGTACCACTACACGCATAACCAACTAGGGCGAAGAAAGCCTCAGAACACTATCTTAGTTGTCTAAATAAACAGTGAATTGATCGCAAAAACTGGTTTAGAAAGATAACTGTAACCTTCAACAGTCGAACGTTGGCTGACACGCAACCAATGATTACGAAATCAAAACTAACTTGGGTAGCAATGTATTCGATGCCATTACGATATATGCAGTTAGAGAAAATGGACAAACCACGATAGTTCAGGATCCTGGTATATCAGCCTGGTATATCAACCGCAGAATGCAATCAAACTGTTAGAGAGAAATGTTCAGTTGAAACCATTGTTCAAAGCAGACAGCCATAGGACAAGTGAACACATGAACAACGTGCGAAACTATTAACAATCTCATAGTGGCCCCTCTTTGACAACCCAATCGGACGGTGGAAATGGTTGGAGGTGAACGTAAGACATCCATATACAAGACAAAGCAGGTGTCCTTTGGGTGTCCGTTTCAATCGATAAAATAAACTGCGGTCCTTGTTAGAGGAGTAGAGGGACTGAGGCGCAAACAGGTGAACCACTAGACCAAGATTTGGGTGTATGTGGCAGTTAGAGATGTAAACACAAGGGAGAAACAGTTAGGGTGCTAAAGTATTTGGGTTAGTGAGGTCAAGGATCCGTGCACGAGAGGAACTCGCAGCGACGAAGTTCGTTGAGTAAGGTTCAAATGACAACCGAGATTAGGTTTCAGAGGAATTATCCAATCAGTGCATGACGCAGATACAATAACTACTCAGTAAATTTTAGCATTTCCCTCCGACTGGTAACACCTGTTTACTTTAAGCCGGAGGCAATGTACGGCCGAACTTACAATTTCAGCCTAAGACAAAGTACAGAAATACGTTTGGGTCAACACATTTCATGACCTAACTATCTTACTTCTGCCGTGTGGTCACACTATTGCAAAGCTTACGTTTTGCAGATCTTCTCTCACCATGCTGCTAAACATCGAGCCTAAATACTTTTCATTCAGAGTTATCAGCTCTAAAAGGTGGATGTTAAATTGACGCATTATTCTTAATTCTTCGACCTATTCACTTTTGAAAATTTGGACAGAATTGATATTTAACCCCACACTCAAAAGTGACTCATTGTTCAAGTTCCTACTGGGATTTTTATCCTCAGTCGAAAGAGTTGTTTCAAGGCTTTGCGATTAGTCTAAACTCATGTTCATCCAACTTGTAGTTTAGTCGCTGTATCATATTTTGCAGCCACCTGTTCACTGATGTTAATCCAACCATGCAAAGACCCATGTTTCGCAGTGGCCACTACAAACGCTATTGGTCGGAAAGCCATGCATCACTTATTCCCGGTTTGTACGACTAGTGTTTAGCGTCAACGCGCCTACCCCATGCATGTGTGCTTGCAGTTTTGCGCGTGTGTAGCCACTCGATCTCTGGGCATGGCCAGAATTGCGAACATAAATCAAAACGAAGTCCAACTCATAACTAAGCCCAAGGAGAAACACCCGGGCAGAATGTGTGGCTACAGGCTCGCAGCCTAAACGATCACAGGCTGGCCTTGTATTTGGACGGCGCGGTTTCGAGCTTGCCTAGGGGACCGCACGCGACTGTTGGTTGCCGAACCACAGTGAAGTGTCAGTACTGGGTACCGGCATAATGCTGTTATTTAATCTACAACTGCGGCTGGGGGAACATGAATCGGGTTGTTATTTGTGTTCTTGATGCAGCAAATATTATTACGTCAAATGTGCTCGTTTAACTACAAGGAAAATGAAGTAATCGAACAATAGGACAAGCATCTTTCGGTTCTGCATTGGTTATACGGCCACTTAGTTTGTTAACTGAACAGAAATTGCGCAGAAATGCGATAACCCAACTGCGATGGTAGAGGAATCTAGACTAGGTAAGCGATATTGAGGCGGTTCTCTGTCAGCCACACGCCTTCGGACTGAATCATGCAGAGTTCGGCTTTTCCCCGACGTCAGCAAAGGAAACAGAACCATGATAAGTACCATAATGGAAACAACGGAATGTCAAGCTTTGTTCATGGTGTGTCGGCGCCTCAATCGTCGGGTAATCATGAAGCCCAAACCCATTATTGAGAGGAATGGTGATATATGCTTCGGATGCTTCCACTGCATAACGTGATTGATTAGTAGATCACGATACTACCCTCGTCATCTAAGTACAAATGGTGTGGCCTCAAGGTGATGAGATCTATTCTAGTCCACACACATGGCGGAAAACTAACTTGAAATGCGGTGCAAGTAACGTAAGGAACTTTCCGCATAGCTACGCGTACAAAGCTTTTAGTAACAGACTCAGATGACAGAGAGGGAAAACAGTCTCCAAGGCTTAACAGTGAGTTCAAGGTAGCTTAGTCAGGAAGTGGACCACTGCGGAGTGCAACCAACTGTTTTAGGGGCAGCAAATTAATGAAAACGACATTTCATCCTGTGAGCATTCTACCAGCCAATATGAAGCGGCTCAAAGTCCAATGTCAGCAGTTCATTAAAAAACGATTAGCTGCCGACCTCACAAGAGCCGGCTGAACTTCACGCCTCACACACGCACCATCAGACATGCTTCTGACAGTCGAAGCGCTTCCCTATAATGTATGCAATGTTCAGGGCCTTTTCAACCAATTAGCCGGGCTTTAATCCTGTCAAATCTTGTTGGTTATGAAACTGATAATAACTGAGACCTGACTGAAGGAGAAAAGCATGGAGGCGGAGATCGCCGTCCCACATACATATCGACCTAGTAGGGGAGGTTGCACAAATTTATACTTTCGCAGTGAACTAATTTTTCAAGTCCTTGGCCACCCAGTGATACAAGTTGTAGACTCATTTTGGTGTCACTTACAACCAAGCCGTGGCGATGCGTGTTTTCATGCCTTCGTACACCGTTATTGTATGGACAACCGTCTAGTTTCTGCACTGAAAACTGTTCTGGATCAGTCAAACACTCAAATTCTGTTTGTGACTGACCTCGATTTGCACGCTCTCGAGGTTCCAGCATTCGTTGGCGAGCAGGTTAAGCCCGAAGTACAAGAAGTAGTCACTGGCCTACCACTTCATAATCACAGCACTTACCCTACGAGATTCAGAATAGGAAATATGCCAGCCACTTTGGACCTCGTTTTTACTTATGAGGTACTAATAACCGACACGGTAAACCTGTGCAGCTCCTTGGGGTGAGGTGGATTTTCAGCCCTGCTTTTCAGCCACGGCTGCTACACAGAACAGTAGAACATGGACATGGAAGTGGTTCGCATAAACAAAAACTTTACAACATCTTACCCGACCTCAACAAGATCACCTATGGATCGATTTTAACGGAACAACCACCTGATGCCTTTTGGAGGGGTGTACGTTAATCAGTTTAAAATTTTATTAACGAACACACCAACGACTAAAATCCTTAGCTTAACAAAGTAAGGCCTTTCCTCAGAAGTAGGACCCGAAAAAGAATGACCCAGAGTGCTTCAAATTAGAAAGCATAAAATCCGATTCAAACACTGGGAACGGGAACGCCTGCATAACCGATCGAAAACACCGTGTAAATCTGGTCCGCGAGGATAAAATGGAACACCAAAAGGGTTTGGCAAAGAAGTTTAACTCCAATCCTAAGCTACCTTGCAGTCAGCTCAAAAAACTTCCAATATACAAGGAGGCGTACGTCCTCTAAATACCGCATGGGCACAAGCGCATACAGCCCAAGCATAAGCTCATACTCCTACACAAAAATTCGCCTATACTTTCCAGATTTCGAGTCAGCGAACAAACCCATTTTCGGTAGATCTCCTCAGGCTGGTACACCACAACTAATAAGAATAAAATGAGTTAAAACATCAGACGGGAGTAAAGATCAAAGGGTAAAATTTAAAGGTCTATGTCATCTAAATGACAAGGTCAAGTGCTGGGTTCACAAACCCCCAATGAAATGTCAGTTGCATGATTCTCAGCAGGGGTTACTGTAATAGGGGGAGGGAGAGATAATGTGAACGAATTGTTTTTCTTCACATAAGTTTGGGTTCTAGAGACGGATGGCGATCGCTTCAGCTGTTGCTGATAGGCGACATATTACCGCTCGTGTGTGGCATCCAGATACGCGGTAAATTGACTGAAAACATTGATGCCAATCGATCTGGCGTTTAAAATCAACTAGATGTGCCAACACGGCGCTTGTCACCACTTTAGTCCCACCTGCACAGAGCCAACTCGGGCAATGCTCACGGATTCTCTCAGACGGTCTTCTGGTTGTTCCTCCGATATAACTTGCTCGACATGAACAAGTAAAAGAGTATACACAGAAAGAAGTACTTGACCACGGTAGTCTGTCCTTGGGTTGAAATCTTACGGTTGGTGTTGAAGTAAGTCTTAGCCGTAAGCTTGCAGCGTAGTACGTACGGTTTATGGCGTCGGATAACCTTCTAAACGTTGCCTGCGCTATTCCATCCCCTTTGAACGGCAACGACAGATAAATCAATTTCTTTTCAACTGAATCGGTTTTAGCCCTCGATTCTGGGCACTCCATATTTCTCCGAACAAACAATTTAGGATAGCCGTTTCTCTCAAAAAGGCTAGCTAAGAAATTCAGCTGGTCCGAAAACGTGCCCTCATTACATATCCTTCTTGCAGTTTCCGTTAAACATCTAAGCAAGTTCCGCTTCTGACTTAGTGGGACAAAGCTGGCAAAATGTATGTAATGTCCATTCCACGTGGCTTTTCGGTTCACCCTGCGTTGGATCAACCCATCTGATCATCTGCTAATTTGGACGTCTAAGAAATACATCTTGCCATGAGGTTCAGGTTCCAGGGTAAACTTAGCGTTGTCGTGCGCTGAGTTAAAAAGGGATACAATTTGCTCTGTGCAGCCTTGACT